TGTACGAGTTTACCCTGTGTCTGTGTTCTCATATGAAGCCCGTCCCACAAGTCCTCTACCTCTACTGCTGTTGTTGTTGTTTCGAAGCCAAATTCTGATACTGCTTCATCTAACATTCGATTGTACTCTTGGATGATGATGGTCGGTGGTGTTTGTGGAAAACCGCGAAATAGTTTTGTTCGATGAATAACTTTATGCACGACGATGCGGAGATTTTGTGTGTCGAATGTCGTTCACAAACGAAACAAGCGAGTCGACGGCTTGATCAGGTGACCTGTCATCAAAATCGTTTGTTCCTGCGAACAATATAAACTGGGTGGCATTATGGAGAGTATGGTGTGCGTACTGCGTCTGGAGTAACGCGTGAAATGTGGAGACTCGCGCTCCGCTTTGTGACCGGATGAGGATGAGTGCGTAGGGGTTGAAGAAATCGCTTGTTCTAATTCGTTTACATGTTGCGTCGGAGAAGATCGTAACTACCGGTTTTCGACGTTGGGGTTTGTGCTGGTATGGTCCCTGCCACAGTTGTGTTCGCTGCGACGGAAATATACGTCTCTGCTGAGCCCAACCACGTATGTTGGACGTGAATTTTCGTGTTCGGATCTGTGTTGCTGCTGGTTTAATGTAACTGACGGTGAAGGAACATGTACACTGATGGTAGGTGGTGGTTTAGTGTCAACATAACACTGATAATTGTCAATAAATGGTTGAAAACGACTGCATGTATACGTACTTGGCGGCTAGTCTAGAACGTCCCTTTCGCTCGTCATCACTAGTCCAGTTTCTAATAAATGTCCGTATAACGCGTGTAGACTGGCCTGGAATGCCTCTTCGACCCGTCATGACTAGTCCGTTTTGTCCGCTATACCCGTCTTGACTAGTTCAAAGAATGACATGAATAATTCCATAGCCTTAGTTCGAACCATTACACCGTCTGCGCAAAGAAACGGACGGGCATCTGGCACATTGTTCGAGACAAATACGATTGTGCCCGTCTCGAAAAAGATACTGACGCGTGTGTGCATAAGTTTTCTATTTGTCACTAGTTCTTTTCTCATTTAATGAAGAATAAGATTTTATGACTAATGCATTGTGCAAGTAGTGAGTGGGCAAAAATGCACAACAATCTCCTTTGTTTTATCATTTATTATTCATAGTATAATTCGTTTATTATTAATAATACTTAGTCAGTGGATTAGGTTATTAGTAATAAGAAGGGTGTAATCAACAACAGGTATTGCCTTTTACCACCAATCCATTGTGATTTGCATGAATGATTTCACATAAAAATCAGACATGTATATAATGCACGCGAAGTGAAACAACATCATTTCAGTATCATAAAACAAACAGATAAACCGTTACCAAAGAGATACACATGTCTTCGTATTATCAACAATCTGGTAAGTTTAAGCATGTGATGTAGATATATAAATTCACTTCACTTCTCTTTTATAGGCTTTCAAAATCAAAGTGTATACGGACAGGGATTTGGTGGTGGATATGGTCTCCCAAGATATCCCATAAATCAAATGGGTTATGGCTTATATCGACCACATTTAGATCTTCCGGGTGCAGCTTTCAGAGCCGCTGATTATAATCACGATGGTGTTCTGGATCGATCTGAATTTCGACGATTCGCCTCCGGATATATGTATTAGAAGATACAGTGGTTTATCACACAATGATGCAGGAAAAAGTGTTGGTTATACACTGACAATCATTTCATTTTAACGTGAAGACTATAAAAATAAGTTTTTATTTAAATAATCCTTTCTAGCCATGTTGACTGTACAATTTATTAATAAAATTATTAGATAAGTGGTTACACTACTTTGTTGATGCAGAATTTGAATCATAGACGTTCTGCTAAAAGACAAAAGTGACTTTGTATTTTTTCGAAAAGAAATTTAGACTCAAGAAAATATAGACTCTCTTAGAAGTTCTTTTGTAGAGCATTTCATCGGATAGACTAACTTCATGCAGTGCCTACTACGTTTTACTTTTCATAATCGAATCGTCTCGAAACATCTCTGATTTTCCCGAGCGAGTTACCGAAAAGTCTATGCTCGTAAGCTGAAAAAGATCCGTGACATGGTCGAGGCTGATTACAAGATAAGAAAAAGGCCAAAGATAGGCCCCGCCCCAATCCTCTCAGTTTTTACTTTCACTTCAAGTTTTAAAAAGTTTCCAAATAAGCCATTCGATATGCCTCGTTAAGTTGCACCCTGGGTAAAAATTGTCAGACTTACAATATTAACATAACTCAATGAAAGAGATGCATTTGTCCATACACCATTTCCACTATTTGTATTTTCCACTGAGAAATTTGCATGGATTTCATCGTCGATTCAGACGCTCTGACTCGTTAAAGTTCTTTTGTT